CACCTCACCCACTGGCCCACGCTGTGTCCCACCAGCCCACACTGCATGCCCCCCACCTCACCCACTTGCCCATGCTGTGTCCCACCAGTCCACACTGTACCCCCCACCAGCTCACACTGCATGCCCCCCACCTACTGGCCCACACTGTCCCACCAACCCACACTGCATGTCCTCCACCAGCCCACACTGACACCACCATGACAAATCCTAGGTTCCCATTGTCTCTCCAGAGGAGCATGTACTAACAGTTCGGTGGGCAGTGGTTCTCAACTTTGGCAACAATATTGAATATATGGTTTATACACTATTGAATCTTGAAATCCCCTGGTCACCTTTGGAAACTGCCATGTCAGTTGGGTCTCTAGGGGTGGGTCTGGCCGGCTGGGCAGCCAGGGCAGAGAACTCCCTTATTTTAGAAATGTTCACAAGCATTTTGGCACTCCTGGATCTTCAGCCAAATCTAGAGTCAGCAAGGCCACACCCAAGTCAGTGCCCAGGTGTTGTTATGTACCGCCTCTATCCCCCAGCCTTCCTGGGTCCTAGAAAGCTCGTCTCCCTGAGGGTACCCTTCTCTGATTCCGTACTTGTTGACTTGGGAGGTTCGGATTTCGAGCATGCTTCAGGGACCTCCACAGAAATCCACTTTCTTTGACCTTGTAATACACAAACACGCACCACAAACACACATCTCTCTGAGTGTCTCCATGTTTTCTATAAGTTGACTCTAGGCAATATCTGAACCAGAGGAGGAGAGAAGGTGTGGAAGGAAGCTCACCTTTATTTCTACGGGCAAGACCCATTATTTCATTTCATTCCAACAGTCCTGAATAGTGGGGGTGTTCTCCCCAGCTTACATGTGAGGGAACTGAACCCACGCCATCCACCTTGCAGGTTGATGAAGCAGGAATTTAAACCCAGGCATAGTGGACTCCAGAGCAGACCAGGCTTCCAAAAGAGTGTGACCCCCAAGAGCACAGGCCCCCTTAACAAAGGACAGGCGTGTTGCTGGTCACCCCACATGTCCGCATATGTATATAATCCACCAGGGGCTCTTTTCTATCAAACCTCATGTCATGTGAGTTACAGTGCAGTCACTTGAAGGGAGAACAAAATTTGGGGCACAGTTTACAAGTGATTATTGTCTATTTTAAATCATCAGGTCAGCAATGTGAAGGTTTAGCCCAAAGTCTAGTTTTTAAAGAAGGCAGCAGCTTAAAGACAATTCTAGAGTTAGTATCTCACTGGCTGTTTTCACAGGCTGTGCTTGTAACATCACAACCTCCATAACTCCTTTGATCCACAAGCCTGTATCTGAAAACCTGGGGACCCAACATATATGAGAGTTTAGAAATTTGGGGATTTTAAGAGGGTAGTAATGATTTTAGGAAGAAAGGCCTGGCGGTCTACTCCCAAAAAATCAGCCAGTAAAAACCTGTCGATCACAATGGTCCATTCCTGCTGTGCACGGGATTGCTGTGAGTCAGAGCTGACTCAATGGCAGCCAGCAACAACGGTACCGATTTTAGGAGGACAATGTAGTGCAAATGCCGTATAGCACCCTATTGTGGATTGAATTATGTCCCCCAAAAAATGAGTGTAACAATTTGGCTAGGCCATGATTCCCAGAATTGTGTGGTTGTCCTCCATTTTATGATTGTAATTTTATGTTAAAGAGGATTGGAGTGGAATTGTAACACCACCCTTACTCAGGTCACATCCCTGATCCAATGTAAAGGGAGTTTCCCTGGGGTGTAGCTTGCACCACCTTTTATCTCTTGTAAGAGATGAAAGGAAAGGGAAGCAAGCAGAGAACTGGGGGACCTCATACCATCAAGAAAGCAGTGCCAGGAGCAGAGCGCGTCCTTTGGACTGGGGTCCCTGCGCAGAGAAGCTCCTAGTCCCAGGGAACACCGAAGAGAAGAAGGCTGACAGAGCGAAAAAGCCTTCCCCTGGAGCTGACGCCCTGAATTTGGACTTCTAGCCTACTTTAACTGTGAGGAAATAAATTTCTCTTTGTTAAAGTCATCCACTGTGGTATTTCTGTTGTAGCAGCACTAGATAACTAAGACCCACCCTTAGCAAGGTCTTGAGTCCTGGGTGGTACAAATGGTTCACGTGTTTGGCTGCTAACCGAAAGGCTGGAGGTTCGAGTCCACCCGAGTCCTGGCCATCTACTTCCAAAGAAATCAGCTCTTGACCACCAGACTGAGTCCAGTACAACTAGATGGTGCCCGGCTACCACCAATGACTGCTCTGACTGGGATCACAACAGAGGGTCCCGGACGGAGCTGGACAAAAATGTAGAACAAAATTCTAACTCACAAAAAAAGACCAGACTTACTGGCCTGACAGAGACTGGAGAAACCCCCTGAGTATGGCCCCTGGACACCCTTTTAGCTCAGTAATGAAGTCACTCCCGAGGTTCACCGTTCAGCCAAAGATTAGATAGCCCCATAAAACAAAACGAGACTAATGGGGCACAACAGCCCAGGGACAAGGACTAGAAGGCAGAAGGGGACAGGACAGCTGGTGATAGGGAACCCAAGGTTGAGAAAGCACAGTGTTGACATGTGGGGTTGTTAACCATTGTCATAAAACAATATGTGTACTAATTGTTTAATGAGAAACGATTTGTTCTGTAAACCTTCATCTGCAGTACAATTTCAAAAAAAAAAAAAATGAGCCCTTGAAAACCCTACAGGGCATAGTTCTCTCACACACACAGGGTGGCCGTGAGTCAGAATCAGTGCAGCTGGAGGTGGTAGTGGGGTCTCAGACAGCATATTGTGACCCGTATATGATGCTCACACTGCGTGAGATAAACTGAAAAAATCTAGAGACGCGTGCCAGTTCAGATCAAGTTTTACTGCAAAATGCATTTGTATCAGGTCCAGTTTTGCCTCCAGATGTGTCATAAGGAAACTTTCGGTTTCCAGAACATTCTTGAATTCAGAATTGTGGGTAAGAGCATGGGTGCCTGTATTCATTTCCTTCCCTTGGGAAACCTGGAATGTCATTGCCCTTCCTCACGTCCAGCTGTCTCCTTTAGAAGGAAGGAGGAGGAGGAGAGAGAAAGCCTTGCCCGGAAGATAAATCCTGGAAAGTTAATGAGACACATGCTCTTATGCGTGCGTGTGAGTGGAATAAGCTACAAAGAGCTATTTCTCTGCCTAGCACAGCGAGAGCTGAGAATTTATGGGCATGTTTAGAAATAAGGACAGAACAGCCCATTAGTTTTCTCACTATTGATTTTTTCTCCATGAGATGAAGTACAGCATTTGTGGAATATGAGCAATTTAAATAAATATGCCACAGGATGGGCAGTTGTAAAGTGAAAGGACCAAGCACCCAGCACTTTGAATTTTAGCATCTTACTCACCTTAAAGATTCGTTCCCTATAAAAAATAAAATTAAAAAAAAACCCATTGCCGTCGAGTTGATTCTGACTCACAGTGACCCTATAAGACAGAGTAGAACGGCCCCATAGGGTTTCCAAGGCTGTAATCTTTATGGAAGCAGACTGCCACATCTTTCTCTCACGGAGCGTATGGTGGGCTTGCACTGCCAAACTTTTGGTTAGCCCCTAAGTACTTTAACCACTGCACCACCAGGGCTCCTTTGTTCCCTGTAGAACCAAGTATTTTGGAGCAGATTTACTGCAGGGTAGGGTTTGCATAACGCGCGAACAAGGCTTTTTGTGTCCCTGCAGCCAAATCACCATCATACATCCCTTGTGGGTGTGCTGGAGCTGTCCCCTTGACTTCTGCTTCTCTCTGCTGCTGTGGGTTAGACCACTTGTCACGCATTTGCAGAGTGGGGCAAGCCTGTGGAGACTCACGCTCTTGATGTTTATTGCCAGCACAACTCCTTCTGGAAACCTGCATCAGGCCTGGTACTCTGTGTCACGGTTCACGTCCACCACCGAGCACTCCTCCCCGTTTTTCTGGTAGTTCACTGAATAATCATAGTTAATAACACCAAAAACAAACAAACAAACCAGTTACCGTCAAGTCGATTCTATCTCATGGAGACCTCGTGTGTTACAGAGTAGAACTGCTCCATAGAGTTTCTTGGATGTCATCTTTATGGAAATAGGTCACCATGCTTTTCTTTTGTGGCACCACTGGATGGGTTTGAACCTCCAACCTTTAAGTTAGTAGCCAAGAACAAATCATTTGTGCCACCTCGAGACCTGATTTAGTTACTTATTATAGTATTATTATGCTTCATAAAAACCCTCACTAATTCTTAGAGTGCCATGGGCCTGGCCCTATTCTAGTATTCTGGCCATATTAATTCATTGACCCCTTGCAACTACTCTATTATCATTCCTATTTCAGGGTTGGTTATTGATTGTTATCCCCATTTCAGATTACTACTTTCATTTCAGTGGCACAGAGAGGTTAAGTGACTTTTCCAAGGTCGCACAGCACATAAATGGCAGAGCTTGCATCCCAGTGCTGGCGGTTGGGTCCAGAGGCTTTGTTTTTAGTTGCTAAAAAGAAAAACGGGGAAGAAAAAAGAAAAGAATTGCCATCAAGTCGATTTCAATCTTTGGCGAACCTGTGAACAT